GCTGGGGATTGAATTCATGCTGCAGTGGCTGCTGATAGTTTCATGGTATATGCTTTAGCACCTTGCGCCACCAGGGAGGGTCCTCAGTTGGTATTTCTTGAGCCAGGTGACTATGATGGGAGCCAGGAAATGTGGGTATGTAGGAAAAGAGCACTGTGCTTTAAGCCACCTTGTTCCTTCCCATGTGGACCTGCCTAACAGCTGGGCTCTGGTGCAATCTAACCTTGCCTGCCTCTTCCTCAAAACTCTTCCACCCACCCAGACCTGGCAAGTAGCCCCACTGTCTTCCAAATGCTTACCTGAGCATTGGAATATGAGCCTGGACCTGGCCCAATGAGGTCCAGAGCAGGTAAAGCATAGGACTGTTTCCAAGAGCACCCCTACTGGCTGGAGAGATATGGCCACCCAAGCATAAGACATAGGACAGGAAGGGTTTGGTAGAGGGGAGCAGACAGGGAGGACTCCCTGAAGGACTCGAATAAGATCTTGGCCTTGTAGGATTTGCTAGGCAGGGGACAGCAGGAAGGGTGCTGAGGGAGAGCTTCTAATCTCTCCCACCAGGTCACAAATGGTCCCCTTACCACAGAGCGACAGAGGTCTGGGCAGGTGGCACGAGGCAGACTTTGGGTCCCTCAGAGGATGCTGCTGATGGTAGATTTCAGAAGGTGGTTATCACAGGCAAAAAGTTACCTGAGCCAAGAAGAAAACCAGTTTGAACTTTACTGCAGATTATATGTTGTTTTAGATGCAGATGTTAGTGTAATAAACCAATGTTACTCCAATTTAAAAAATTAAAACAAGAAAAAAAGTGCACAGTCCATTACATGTATTTCTTAATTTATATAAAGAAACTAATTTTTAAAACTTGATTAAAGTGGAGGCATTTGTATGAAAAACAAAAATATTACTGTGATATTCTCTTTCATGTGCCAATGGCTTGGTGAAGCAGATTCATTTCACTTTATAGAGGATGACCAGAGAGGTCAGGAATCTACCAAAAGTCACACAGCTAGCGAGGGATGAAGCTGATTTGGAATCCACCATGCACTCTGCCTCATCTTATGATGAGGCTGAGGAAAAGGGCATGGGCCTGAGTGCTTCCACTTTAATAATCACTCAGCACAGGAGCAGCCATTCTGGAAAGGGGTGGAGGTCTGAGGAGTGTAGGCCCCATGGTGGGCCCTCTGCCTGGTCTGTGTTCCATCCTCACTGTGGGGTACAGAGGGCTTCCTCTTCTAGGAGAAGCCCTAGTCCTGCAGTCACCTTGTCCTCAGGGTTGGTCCCTGCACAGTACAAATGGGGCCCAAATCTGGCCCACCCCACGTGTGTTGCTGTGGGATCAGCTGGCAGGTTGTGTGAGGGGCCACACAACAAAGAGGTGTCCGAGGTGCTGGGGTGGCAAGGGCTCGTGTCCAGGCAGAGAGGGAGGGTACAGAGCGAGTATGAACTGAAACAGCGTTGCTGTTGTCATGGCAGCCAGGGAAAAGAGCGTTGGGAAGCAGGACAGATGCCCAGACTTCTAGCCTCATCTGTGCCGCACACAGCTGTGCAGTCAGGGCAGAAGCTCTCTCTCTGAGCCCCTTTGTCAATAAAATGAGGCTTTGACAACTGCATAGCTTCCCTAGCCTGATGAATTTGGTAAGGATTACAAAGACTTGGGAGAGTAGTTAAAGAGCAGGAGCTGAGGGAAGAGTCTCCCCTCAACCCACATAATCAGGCTTTGCGACTTTGCTTCCCCCTAGTGGTGACACAGAGTAACAGCGCCATGGTCTCACCAGGTCATTCTCCTGCCTCCTGCTGTTGGCATGAAAGGGGGCTCATTACCACCCAGAGTCTTTCAGAATTGAGTGTTTTGGGTGAAAAGAAAAGATACCACACCTATACCTAAGCTACGCACAGCTATGCACTGGAGAGCACAGGTTACTCAGTCATGTATCAACTCAGCAGGTGCTGAGGAAGGGTCTGTAGTTTGCAGGGACACTGTATCATGTCCTGGGGATCCAGAGACACTTTCCACACTATTTCTGTCCTCAGAGGGCCCCTTTCCAATGAAGGAGCATATAGGCAAACCACAGACTTAAGAGAAAATAGGGGGATGCTCTGAGGTGTGACATAGTATATGAGTGACACTTGGGAAGCTCATGGCCAGCAGCTCTGGGTCCCTGTCTGAGTGCTCATTGTCCTGGGCATGTAGTCAGGTGTCCTGTGAAACTTTTGCCACTTGTCTAGGGAAGTCTGTCTCTGCAGGCCCTTCTGGAAAAGCTTGTCATTTTCCCTGTAGGATGACTGGATTTCCACTTGAGCCTGCAGCATCCCTACTGGGCACTGGAACATTAGGGGACAGCAGACCTTGTTTCACCCCTGCAGCCTCCCCTATTTGAAGTATCCCTCCCTAGACATAGTCTGCTGGTTGGCATCTACAGATGACAGAGACTTGGGTCTCAGATGCATCCCTCCCCCATAACCCCCGGTCAGTGTTCCACAGGCCTCCCAACTCCTGGAACATGCTGTGGGAAGGTGATAGGAAGCTTAAAGTCACCCTAGCAGGGCCCTTCCCCTGGCCTGTGGAGGCTAGGCTGGAAGTCAACAGTTTGTGGTACAGAATGTGGAGAGAGTGGGAGAGGGAGCACGGGTATGTGTGTGTATGTGTGAGAGAGACCCAGAGAGACGAGCCTGGGTGCGTCACCATCTCTGTTGCTGGGAAAGTTGACGAGTCTGACTCAGTGGGAACATCCGGCAGGAAAGGAAGAGAATGCAGTCACATTTCTAAGCAGATGGGGACTTTGGGGTAGCGGAGATGGGGTGTAGGGTCAGGGGTGCCATGTGGTGGCCTTGTGAGGAAAGAGGTTAAGCTGTAGTGGGGAGAGAAGGGCTGACAGGAAGGGGTGGTTCAAGGGCAGCAGAGATTGGACATGTGGCTGCCTCCGTCTGGTTTGGATAGGAGAGATGGGCAATAGGGCTTTCTGCTTTGGAGACAGAAGGAGACATGTTGTGGCATGGGATTGGGGAAATTGAGGGCTGGTCACTCAGGGGTGTGGGGAATGCAAGGAGTTCCAACTCTCCCCTCAAGGCCTAAAGGTGAGGGCCCAGTACTACTGAAGCAGACCCCAGATGCTCTTGATACAGAGACCACCTTCCCTCCCTGTACTCCAAAGTCCCAGATCACAGAGACTTCAAAGTTCAGAGCAGGGGCAAGCTGCTCTCCTGGGCATAATGACCTGCCTCAGCTGTACCGGAAAGACTTAGGGAGAGGCTTTCCTGAGAAAGGCAACTTCCTTTCTTGGGATAGGAGAGGCCCACAGAATTATCCCCCAAGAGCAAAGCTAGAAGGACCCAGAATTAGGAGGGAGGCTGTTGGACAGCTATAAACTATAGTTTCATGGGCCCTGAAGGAAGGCTGCCCCCCCCCCCCATTTCCCATGAGGGGCTAGAGACTGAACAGCTGAATCTCCCAGCAATGGCTGTTTAAAATACAGAGAAGACAATGTTCAACTTAAAGGAATGAATGACTAATCGAGTTATTTTAAGTATGCGGTAGTATTTGGTGGCCTAAGGGAGGTGAGCTTCTCGATCCCTTTAAATTACTTAAAGAGTGCTGATGAACAGAATGAGGGGAAGCAGGTTCCTTTGAGGCAGGGATGTTCGGACCAGGGGGCCTGATGGGTTAGGTGGTACGCTTCAGGCATTTCTTACCATGGGCAGGACAGGGCCTATTTTGTATGCAGGCAGGTCCAGGCCAGGGTCCAGTTGGGGACAGGGCCCGGGGCAGCCAGGCTCCCTGTGTGGGCTCAACCCACTTGGGAGTAGTCCCTGCCAGTCTGTCTGGGGACCCCGGGGCAGGGCAGGGAGAGGTGCTAGGCAGGGCCAGCTGGCTGCCAGCGCCTTGGTCCTCGCCCTCTGCCTCTGTGAGTGGATGGGTGGGGGCGGTGGCTGTGGCGTTCCTGGCTGGGAGCCCAGAGGAGTCTTTTGTAATCACAACATGATCTCGTGTGCTGAGCAGCAAAGCCGAAGCCGGCGGGGAGAGGCCAGCAGAGGCCCAGCTCTGGTAGCTCCAGCTTCCCTCCTGTTCTGGCTCCCTTGGGGCTGCTCTGGAATTCTCTCTCGGTGCCCGCTGTTGCCATGCACTCAGCTGTGAGTGGCACCTTGCCTTTGGCGGGGGGCTTCTTGGAGTTGGGAGGGGGCTGGGACACCAGGCAGTCATAATCTGGGGGCAGCTGTGAACAGCCGAGCCTGGAGGAAGAGGGTTGTGCCTTGGCAGGCTGGGGGGCTGCGTATGGTTACTGGTCACAATGGAGACCCTGCAGCCAGACAGGGAGGGGCCTGGGGATCTTGGTGCGGGTGCAGCTTCCTCAGGGTGGCTTCCCGGCTGGGCCTGTTCACAGAGCTGACTCTCTCCTGCCCCAGCTGCCAGGAGCTTCTGCTGGAGAGGCTGGGCCCTTGAAAGCCATTCTTTCCTTCTGGCTGAGCACTGACCTAGGGAATGGGGTTCCGGGCCTGAGAGTCAGGAATGGAGCAGGGGCCTTTCTTTTCTGTGGTTCTGGGCCTGGGAGTCAAACAGCTCCCCCCTCGACCTCCCGAATCCCCTGGCAACTTCCCAGTCACGGCAGGTTCCGCTGCCAGAGCCATTTATAACTCCCATTCCAGGCTCTGCTCAGCAGTGGGCCTCCCTGGAGAGTCGGGGGAGGGGCAGCCCATTACTGGGAGCAGCAGGCCTGGGTCTGAAGTCCTGACCTGAGCCCCTGGGGGGTGGTTGGCTGACAGGACTAGTAGGGTGGGGGTTTGGGGCCTTTCACACGCCATTTCCCAGTGTAACCCTAGCTCGGGGGCTGGAATCTTGTTTACTGGTGGCAAGAACATGTGAATGTGGGAGTAAGTGAATTGGTGAGCAGTCAGGAGCTTGTGCACCTTGTGCTCTGCAGGGGCCTCAGGGGGCTGCGTCCCCACTGAGCAGGCAGGAAGAGAAGGATGCAGAACTGGACCGGAGGATAATTGCCCTTCGCAAGAAGAACCAGGCTTTGCTACGCAGGTACCAGGTGAGAGGGCTGTGACGGGTGGGGAGGACCTGTGGAGTTGGCACTCCCTCTCAGACCTGCACAGCCTGCGTGGGGCCTCTCCCTTCAGGCTCTGGGTTGGGACCAGGGTTAGGGAGGGTGTGGCCATCTCAGAGGCTCTGTGGGGAAGATCTTGGTGACTACATGGTGTCTCTACCCCTGGGGTCCTACTGGTGTTTCTCTGTGTAGGCCTGTTGGCATCTGTGTGTCTGTGTGTCTGGGGGGCCGTGACCTGTGCTGACCCCAGGCCCTCCCACAGGAGATCCAAGAAGACCGTCGGCAGGCGGAGCAGGGGGGCATGGCTGTAACCACACCAGAACTCCTTCGACCTGACGGCCTCACTGTCACTATCAGCCAGGTTCCTGGTGTAAGCCCTGGGAGAGCCCTGGGAGTTAGGGCAGGTTGGCAACAAGGCGGAGGCCCAACTTGTGTCAAGGGAAGACAACTGCCCCTGCTTCTCCCGCTTGCAATTCTGGGGCACACCCACCAGCTTCCCCTAACACAGCCCAAGCCACTCCTTCCTTTTCTCCCCAAAGGGCAAGAGCTGAAAGGCCTCCTCATACCCTTTTTTTCCAGTCCCACATCGTATGTCTTTGCCCCCAAGCAAGGCTACTCCTAAATCTAAACCCCAGGGGGACTGAGAAGTGGGGGCCAAATGTCACAAATATAGCTGAGGGACAAAGCTTCACTGTCTGAGTACTTTGGATTTTCCCCATTCAGAGATGATGGGTCTTGGCATAATCTTGGCCCTGGGTGGCCCCAGGCCCTGGATAGCCTAAGCCACTAACATGCAAATGCCCCACATAATCAGCTCCTCTGTGGGCATATGAGGGGGGAGGGCCAGGGCTGAACCTGGCCTGGGGAGCAAGCAAAGGACCCTCCTCCAGATCCTGCCCAGTGCTGCTTGTACAGCCTAAGGACATAGTACCTCATTCTTCAGGAAAAGCGAGTGGTCAGCCAGAACTGGACAAGGAGCACCACAGGACCGGGAGCAGGCATTGAGATGCTGGAGGATGAGGAGGCAGATGATCACGCTGGTGCTTTCCGCATGGGGGAGCGGGTAGAGCTGGCTGTGACCATGGAAAACAAAGCCAAGGTGAGCAGGATGGTGGGGGGAGCCCACACAGGTGGGTGGCCTCTATTTCATGGCTCTGCCACGCTGCCCATCCTCACCTCCCTCAGGCCAAGCGGATCGTAAGTGAGAAACCCACCAGGGCAAGGAACCAGGGCGCAGAAGTGTCACCAGGAGGGGGCATGGGTCAGAGCCCCTCCATCAGCTTGGATTCTGTGCGGAAGGTACTTCAAGAGGGGTTGGGGACAGAAATGTGGTGGTCCTCCTTTGCAGGAGACAGAGAAGCTGAGTCTCATCTGTCCCCCATCTGTAGAGGCATGGCCCAGGCAGCCCCAGAAAGAGCTTCCACCTCTTTTCCTTTCTCTGACCCGTCTCCATGTTGGGTGGTCCTTGCAGTGAGAGACAGGGTAAGCCAGGGTGGGGTCCAGCCCTAAGCCCTATTTGCCCCTAAGGCTGCAAAGGGTAAGGGTTTTGGGGAAACCAGGGCAGGAGGGTGTAAGGGACTGGCCTTGTGCCAGGTGTGACCTCTAGGTGGCAGCAGCCCCTAGTCTTGCTTGCTGCTGCCGGGTGCCTCTGCACCCTGAACCTGCCACATTTTCCTCCTCCGACCTTGTGGATAGGTGCTATTATCACCTTCATCTTACAGCCCAGGAAACAATACACAGAGAGTATAAGTAACTTGTCCAAAGACACATGTGGAAACTGTGCCTATGGCACAGTTAGAGGTGGAGCATATCTGATTTTTAGAAAGGGACATTGAAACCTTGAGAGAGGAAGGGGCCAGTAGACTCCAGATTCCAAACCTGGGCTCTTTCTGCGTCTCCCTCATGGTGCTGAGTGTCTTCTTCTTGCAGGGTTCTCAGGAACCCCGGAATCCAGGCTGGGTCCCAGGTTCAGTTTCCCATCTGGAGGTGGACTGGGATTATGCTCAGTGGAAACAGGAGCGGGAACAGATCGACCTGGCCCGCCTGGCCCGACACAGAGATGCACATGGTGACTGGCGTCGCCCGTGGGACCTGGACAAGGCTAAGCCCATGTGGGTGGCAGGACCCGGCACTTCGCTGTGCTGGCATGTGTGCAAGGCTTGAGACAGGGTTGACTGAGGGGACTTCTTGGATGGCTGGTGGGACCTGGGCTGGGCCTTCAGGTCAGGGCCTAGGCTCAGGGCACCATGTGGGCATGGGGTCCTAAGTTTTGGGGGGAGCCCCAGTTCTGGGGAAGGTGATGTTGGTGTGGGTCCTGCTGCAGCCTCTGTCCTTTTTGCTATCAGCATCTGAACCCCTGTCTGTCTACACAGGCTACAGGACTCCAGAAAACATCGGCAAGAAGGCCCAGCCAGGGTGGACAGCACCAGGGGTGAGCTTGCACCCATCTGGCCCCCCTTCCTTTCCTTGTTTTTTTCCTCTCCTGTCCCCCATCTTCTTTTTTCTGTATCTATTGGTTTACCACTTGTTTTCTGAGCTGGAAACAAGCTGAGAAGTACATCATCCTTCGTCTAACTTACCACCAAAAAAAGGGCACTATAGTGCCCTCCTTGGTGGGGCAATGGGCTAGGCTGCAGCACTGCAAGCTAGCCCGTAGCTGCTTCAGTGTGAGTTTGATCCCAGTCCCTGAAGGTGACCCACATGGTGCGGCAGACCTCTCCTGACCCAACTGCTGCTTCCCTCAGCACTGCAGTTCATTGATCTGCCAGTTCTGTTCCCTACTCTGTCTCTGGTGAATCCTCTCACTGCCCAGCACCTTTGGCTTGTACCCCAGTTCGGTATGCATACATAAATAAATAAATACATCTTTTTAAAAAAAAGAAAAGAAAAAAGACGGTACCATGACCTATTTCTCTCCAAATCCACAGCTCTGACCTAGGGTTCTGACCCCAGAAGTTCTAGGAGGAGGTGGTTGTGGAAGTTTGCGCTGGGGTCATTTTGAAGTATTGCTCCTTCATGGAAGAAAACTCTAGTTTCCTTGGCCCTGACCTGAAAATTGCCAAGCCTCTCATTATACACACACAGAAGCTGGGCCAGAGAGGTTCTAGTGGCCAAGCAGGAGTGGTGAGGGGAGCACAAGGCCTAGGCCTCCTTGCCCTCTGTCCTAGGCTCCTTTGGGAGCCAGAAAATCCACAACTGATCCAAAAGAAGAATGGGTACTGGAAGAACTGGTGTTCCTGCTATGGAGCCTTAGTTACCACGCCCTCTCCTTTACCTCACTTAGGTCCTAGGAACCAACGGAAGCTTCAGCCCCCACCATTGTCCCCTGATGGCAAAGGTGAGTTGGGAGAGAGGCAGGGTCCTATAACTTGGTGAAGGAGCCAGGCTGCTATGGCCTCTTGCCTTCATTTGTGGACCATCTCTTGTAGGTGGTACGACTCGGGGCAGGCAACCCAGCAGATCCCCCATGACACTGGCCACCCACAGCAAAGCCCGGGGGATGGAGAGGCTGACTGGCAGGGCCCGCAGGTAACAGGTGGCAGGGGGCAAAATCAAGGGAGGCATCGGAGCTTCCTGGTTTACTGGCTCTGCCTTGCCCCTGGGAGGTGAGGACAGCACTGGTCCAGCCCCCAGGGCCTCTGCCACCTTGGCAGTGGGTTAATGAGATGAGGGAGAGGCCATCAGCAAAGGCAGCAGCAGCAAGAGCCTGGTACCCAGGGAGGCCGGTGGTAATTACAGTAGTTACCTTCCCCCGGGAAGTCAGATGTGCCTTTCCCAGGCAGCACAGGCAGGAACACGCCTGGAGTCCCCACAGAACTCAATGTGCTGCAGGCTTGGCCATAAACAGCAGCTGGGGACTTGAGATAGGGCTATGGGGGGGTGGGGTGGGATTCTGAGGAAATGGTTCGATTTGGGGAGGTCAGGTTGGAAGTGAAGCAGCCTGAAGCCTCCTGGTTCTGATGCTCCACAGAGGCCCACGAGCTCTAGCTTCTCCCTGGGGAACGTGGGCCACTGGCAATGACGTGGGTGACATGAAGTGGGGCTAGTAGGAAGAGGACCCACATGTGCTGTTTCCACAGGTGGGAGACAAAGGAGGACAAGGAGGAGCTGGCGAGTCAGGAGGTAGGTACTTGGGCATAGGGTGGGGCAGGCAAGAGACATAAGCCTTGAATTTGCCAGCCAGCAAAACCGCCCTCTTGTTTCAGGGATGCCAAAGCACCAGAAAGACTCGAAGTGAAAAGGAACAAGCACAGAAGCAGAGCAGGACAGAGCCGGGCAGACCCGCAAGTGTCCCAGAAACCAGCCCAGCTTCGGAATCCCCAGAGGGGCCAAGTGGGGAGTCAGGAACTCCCACAGTCAGTTTGGTTTCCTGCTCACCACAAAACACTGACTTGGTTCCTCTTGACCTCTCTTTAGGAGGGGTCAATAGCCCCGGGCCCAGGGAGCATGTGTGTGTACTCAGTCCAACAAATGGGGACCAGGAGAGCCCTGGGTCTTGGCCGGTGGGTTCCAAGCAGCCCTTGGGGTGGAAGAGCCCCCAGGCTGAGCCAGAAGTCCAAACTTGCTCTGAGTTACAAAGAGAAGCAGAGTCCCCAGAGCCCAGAGAAGACAGCAAGGCTGGCATCCAACAAGGCCTGGCGCCTCGGAGCAGGCCCCCCAGAGGAACTGGCCAGAGGGCAAGGGGCACAGGATGTGTAAAGAGCAGGACAGGGGGGCCTGGGCCTTCAGGAAGATGCTGAGCAGGTTTCTGGGAACAGGAGGCACAGGCTGGGGAGAGGAGGAGGGAAGAATATGGTCTGGGCGAGGAGTGTCTGGTTGCCTGTGGTTGCAGCAGTCTGGCTGAGCAGTTTGGCACTGGTAGAGTGACACTGGAGAGAAGGGGGTGCGCCTCCCTGAACCTCACATGCACATCTCTTTGCCCCTGGGGTCCTGTGGTACCCCAGGTCTTTGAGGTGGGTGAATTCTGTCTGTCCTCCTGCCACAAACTGACCAGTTCACAAGCTGCCCTTCCACAGTGAGAGAAGTCCTGCCTCTGCCTCCTAGGGTGTAGAGAGCCGTGGCACCTGGCACAAGCAGCCCACGGCTGGACCTTCTCCCTCTGCTTTGCACCCTTGTGACTCACAGTGCCAGACTCAGAGGATGGCAAAATGAGGGGAATCTCAGCAACGGGCTGGCAACCTCCTGCCTTTCTGAAAGAGGAGGTTGAGGCCCAGAGAAAAGGGGTTGGGGGCACGCAGTGTGCAGGGGCTGAGCTGGAGAGTAAAGAGAGAGCTCAGGCTCTCTCAGTGAAAGGGAGGGCCCCTGGAAAGACTTTCTCTCTGAAATGGGCTGGGAGAGCCCATGATCAGAAGTCACCCTCCCCCACACCCAGACAGCAAGCACACCATGAAGGGGGCAAGTAGGCCTGCAGTCCAGGGTGATTCTTGCCAGCTTCTACTTCCTCTTCCTCCCCCCTCCTTGCACCAGAATCATGCAAAAGCAAGGTCTCGGATAGGGACTCGGAAGGGAAAATAGCGGCTCCAGCTCAGTATGACATCAGGACTTGTCTTCCCTACTTAGTCTCTGTTCCTGCCCCTCCCCCGAGGCCCACGTCTGGTGAATTATCTAGACTCCGCACGCACAAGCTGTGGCTTCCTTTCTATTCAACAAACATTTCCTGAACACCCATGTAGCCATGTAGCCGGTGGGCGATGGAGACTGCCAGCAAGAGGGAGGGAAGAACCCCAGCCACCCAGCAGATCCAGGCTGCACAGTGGCATCAATCTCCTCTGTAAGTGCCCAGCAAGGGCTGGGGGTGGTGTGGCAGCCAGAGGGCACCATCTCACCCCAGCTGGCAAAGGTGTCATGCATGCCCTTTGCCCCCAACCTTTTGCCTGGCCCCCCCCCCACCTCCCGCCCAGATGATATCCTCTGCCTCCCTCCTCTCTGGCTCTGCCAAGGTTGTTCCTTTCTACTGAGAGGCCTGGGCCTCACCAGTTACTATTCTGGATTCTCTAGGATTTGTACAGAGTATGCAGAGTATTTCTTCATGTTGGGGGCCTGAACTGTGGGGTCATAGTCCAGGCTTTCTGATTGGCTCTTGTCCCACCCTCCAGCCCCTTTGTTCAGGAAGCATAAGAGGGGGCATCTTTTCAGCAGAGGAGACAGTTGAAGAGAGCAGTGCCTCTCAAAATTAAGGTGCAGAGAGAATAATCAGGTTCTGATTTCGTAGGTCTGGGGTGAGCTCGAGAATTTGTATTTCTAAGAAGCTCCAGGTGATGCCTACGCTGTGTGTTTGGCCTAGACTATCTATGGTGAGAACTAAGGCAAAGGCAGAGTCTAGATGCAAAGGGCTGGTTTCTGGCTCTGGAGGGAGTTGGGGGACACTGTTCCAACCAGGTGGGAGCTTCCTGGCTTCAGAGTTGGGTAGGAAGCTGAGGCTCCTGGGAAGATGCTTTCTTACCCCTGTGCATGGATGGTGCCAACTACTCTAGTGGGGAGTGAGGAAGCTGCCTGGGAGTGGGATGGGGTGGAAGGTGAGGGTGTGTGCTTGTGTGTGTGTGTGTGTGTGTGTGTGTGTGTGTGTGTAAGAAGTTGATATGCAGTTGGTCAGAGGAATGTTGAAAAGGCTTAGGAACATTCCTATATCTGGAGAGTAAGTCCCTTCTGAGATATGAACAGGCCCGGATGAAAGACTCCAAGTTCATCTCTCTCCTGCTGCACATCTCTCTATGGCATGGGATAGCGTGCGAACTCTTAGCTCCCAGAGAGCAGGGCTGACATAGAGTAGGTTCAGTTAGCGCCCATGAATTCAGATGTCTATCCAAGTGATCGTGATCAAGCATTCTAAGATTCATAAACTGCTCCCAGACTCCCAGTGCTGCCAACGGAACAGCTGCATCTCCATTAAGGGGTATATGCCAAGGCATATTTGACTGTGGGGTGGGGAGATAGGACCCACAATAGGACCTGAGCAGGAGAAAAGCTGGGCTGAAGGGCGATGGAGAAACAAGACTTCCACCCCAGGTTAGGAGAATGGATATCCTCAGAGCCATTGGGGTTAGGGACAATGGACATTGGCACAGGACATGTTAATTGTAGGGAGTATCGTGTATGGTGAGTTATCTCTGAGCTCTTCTCAGAGGACGGGTATAAGGGAATAAGAGATCATCCCCTTATGCTCTAAGAAGCGCTGTGGAGCAGAAAGCAAGCAGTTAGTTCTCCCTCCACAAACCTTGGCTCGTGGGGCTGGTTGTCTCTTCCTGGCTCCTGTTTTTAAAGGCCTGACTAGGAGCCTTCCTCTTGGATGCCCTTCTCTTCTCCAGCCAACAGGTAAGACCACTCCTCAAAGGTGGGAAGTTGGTCGTGAGACATGGCTACAGGAACCCAGGCACAGAGCTGTAGGAACTGAGAAGGAAGGGCACAAAGGGGAGTAAGGAGTCAGCAGAGAGATGACAGAAGAGATCTCCAACCTAGGCCCAAGACACCCTGGCAGGGGGAAGCTGCAGACCATCTCGCAAGAAAAGTTGTTTTTTGATGACAGGCAGCTGGTAGCAGGGAGCTGACACGGGTCTGGCAACCAACAGACTGAATCTGAATCCTAGGTCTGCCAACAGCTGGCTGGGCGATCTCTAAAACTTGAACCTCTAAAAGCTTCTATTTCTACTCTGCAAAATGCTGCTAGTGCCACCTACCGAAAGGGTGATTGAGAAAATTAAAGAATATGCAAAATATGCCCAGCACACAGTAGGCACTTTATAACCATAGCCTGGCAAATGCATACACTAAGTAAATGTCGGCTGAATAAACGAAGTCGCTCTTTGGTGTGATTCCTGTCCATGTTGCCTTTTATTTGGTTCTTGAGCTTCTCTTCTAGCCTCATCTTCACTGGGGTCAGAACACTCTTTGGGGAAACAAGGATGGTTTGTAAAATTTATCCAGTCTTCCAAGACAGCAAGCTGCTTTTAATCCCTAGGGCTAGTCTTATGTTAAAAGCCTCACTCAGTGACCCAGCTCTGCAGGGAGCTTCCTTTCCCTCACCCACTAGCTAGATCGCTTGGCTACCCTAGGCATCCCCGGGACCCTGTATGCTGACTCCAGCAGCCAGTACATCAGTAGCGATCTCACACACTCACACCAGATTTCTTTAATATTTTACCCAGAAAATAAACTTCTCTGTAGAATTCATTCCACACCTCTAGGAGTTAAATTTTGTCATCCAAAGGAGCAGCATGACCGGATTTTGTTAGGGTCAAGGGGTGGGTAATTGTGGATCCCAGAAAATGGGAATCTTAGTTATTTAAGTTACCTAAGTTTGGCCACCTGTCCATTTCAGTCCCCACCCTGGTCTCAGGGAAGGAGTAACAGGAAAAGATGGTATTTGCCCCTTAAAGGAACAAAGGACATGGCGAGAATCCTCCTATCTTCTTATTTGGGGGACTAGTTGGGAGGGGGGAATCAAGGGAATAAGAGGCACTAAAGTCACCACTTCATGGCTACTCCAGCCATTTATCAGTGTCCACAGGCCTCAGCAGCTCTTTCTGACTGAGGTTATCAGCCCTTCTGAGGAAGGGGTGACACAGGGTGACCAGGGTCTTCCTGCTGGTGAGAACACAGGCTGGGAAAGGCTGCAGAAGAGCCCGCATAAAGCATGGGCTGCTTTCTCTCAACAAGGCAGCCGGCCCACGTCACTGCCTCTCATTAAGCATCCACTTGACGCCGGGAAAGTGAAATAGCACAGACCTGGCACCAGAAAGAACAAATGTGGCACCCACTGCTCCTTTTAAGGACTGGCTCAAGGAGCAGCGGGCCCCAGGGCAGGAGGTGAAGCAAACACTTCAGAACCTTGGTTGGGGGTGGGAATCTTTCAGCCCTGACTCCTTCTTGACAAGCGCTCAAGAGCCTACTCTCCTGCAAATAACCAACAATGTAAGCTTTTCTCTTTTTCTTAGGCACTCTGGGGACACAACATTTCTTCTTCCCCCAGCAGGGTAGCTGGCTTCAAGCAAAAATGAGGGTTAAAAGTCACCTTGATAAATAACCATCTGTCAAAACAGAAATGCTCTAGCCCTAAGTTACAGAATAAGAGCAGCAAGCCCGGCCAGTGGTTCTCATCCTTCAGGTACATGAGAATTGCCTGGCAGCCTAGTCCAAAACAGTGCTGGGCTCCATCCCCCGATTTCTCTGTCTGTGACCTGGAGCAGAAGACACACTGCATTTCTACCAAATTCCTGGCGATGCAGAGACTGATGGCCAGGTCCCTGGAGTAATGTTTTACACTTACACTTCTTTCCATGTGTCTTTCTTGCCCAAAGGGAGACATCTTCTCTGGAAAATGTATTACCTCATGTATACACTGCACTTTTATTCTCAAGCTCTCCAAGCCCTGTTAATAGCTAGTACCTTCATTTGCTCTCATGAATTCCCACCATTGGTGAGGAAGCAGCAGATGGGTCAAGGGGCATAACCAGTGCTCTTGCTGGGTCGGCTTCCTCCTTCCAGTTCAGGGGGCCTCCCCAAAGCACACTGCCTCTCACCCTGGCCCTCACGGTGCTGTGAGCTGCTGACCTCTCAGACTGGTTGCCAGGACTCAACACTGTCTAGGTCATCAAAAGAAAAGTGAGGGGAAACTGACCTCTAAGACACAATGAATTGAAGGGAGAACCTCAATTCATGATTCTGAACTTCGAGGTAGCAGAGAGAAGTATATTTAACAGGAAAGCCCTGGTTATTGACATAATTGCTTTGGATAAGATGGTTTGGGGACTTTTGAGGTCTACTGTAGGCACTAAGTAAATAGTTCTTGCATTAATGGCAGTGCTTTATGGAAGATATTCTAAGGAAAGTTAGAATATTGTTATTGAACTGATAAGCTATTAAAAAAAACCCTATTACTGAAGTTAATAAAGAGGGCGTTAACAAGTTAATACTCTCGTTAGATTGACTGCAAATTCCTTGAATGGGATGGTAATTTTCTGATTCTTTAGTAGAAGTTTAACAAATGTTTATAGAATTGAATGGGGCACAGGCAAACTGGTTTAGCCCTGGATGCTCCTTTCCAACCAAGTGGCTCATGGGCACTATGCACACCTAGGAGCCATGGATGTTTCTCTACTTAGGGCCTAGCTAGAGTCCTAAGAAGAGTTTAGGTTTGTGCTTAAAAAAAGGCTTTTTTTTAGTTACTGGAGGGGACAAAGCACAAAACAGGTTTTCTGGCAGTAAAAAATCACAGAATGTGTCAGCAAGAAAAACAGATGTGACCAAAACACTGCTAATAGAGCAGGTATTTTTATGGCTCAACATTAAACCAGAGGACTGGGACAGAGGAGACAATGGATAGGTCACATATTCAATGTCATCTTTGTTCAGTATTGCCTTAAGCTGGGGACTTCTGGAAAGAATAGGCAGGGTTAGTCAAGTAGCAAAACTTGGAATGAAACCATGACCTCAGTGGCCATTGCAGCTGTCAGAGTGCAGTATGACTGTGGCACCACAGTGATAACCCCCAACCCAGTGATCGACCAGGTATTCAAGCTCAGCACTGACTATGATGGTGCCTCCTCCGCCAAGGACACCAAAAAAAAGTGCACTGTGTCCCTTTGTTACTGCACAGTAATTCCAGAAACCCTCCATTCTCTGTAGACACGAAGAGGACAGTTATGACCCCTTTTAAATAGCTGAGCCCTAATGCTGGGGTCCTGACTTTTCAGTTCCTTTTAAAGAAACATGTAGAAACAAGGAGATGCTCTCCACCCCACATTTGAAAACAGGATATAAATACTCAACTTAAGAACACACTATCTTAGAATTCCCCAGTGAAAACTGAAAAACAAGGTAGACAGAAAGGCTTCCAAAGCTGTGGTCTCATTTCGTACCATATAGAAATCGAGAGCTAGCAGGAAGAATATTTCCTATGCTTAAAACTTGAAACACTTATCTGCACCTCAGCAGCAATGGGAGGAAAGAAATGATACCCACACAAACTCGGTCTAAGTGGCTTAGCAAACTCCCCAACATCTCACGCTCCAAAACTTCACTTTCAAGAGGATAATCTCTTCCTCCAAACCAGACTATTGGAATAAATGCACGCCCTGCACACAGTAACTTCCAATATAAGCAAACACCTAGAAATGATCCTGGGAGCCAGGTACAAAGCGGTTGGAGAGACATAATCCCCTTTTGCACAGACTTCTTCTGGCTCAAAACCTGACAGTTTTGCTGCTTATCTCTAACCGTTGAAATTAAGGCTATTCTGAATGCTCTTCCCTGCCAAGAGGGAGGGCCCCGTTCTGCTGGAACAGTGCTCTGCTCACCGGCCAGCAGGCTCTGCTGCATACACGCTGCATGTGCCCAACGTGTGAAGCCATGTGCAGCTGTAAAACCACATGTCCCCATCTACAGAAAGGAGAGGCTGACTGGAACCTCGGAAACTTTCACTCTCCTTATGCTCCTCCTTACCGAAAGCCATTGTGTAGGCTGAAGAGGGAAAGGGCGGACTTTTCCCCTGCTTCCCTGCAGACTACAAAGTGATGGAAAAGCACAGCAGCCACACACACACCCACCCCCAGCCCCCAACAGCTCTGGAGAAGGGTAAGAAAGCCTCAGGGAGCCACACCGACACTGGTTTCTTGCTGGGGTTTGTACTGGGCAGCATTGTGTAATAATGAGCTGAGCTCATTGCTTGCCATGTATTTTACAGTATAACTAATCCCTTATATTTGTGCTTCTCACCCACATGTCTTATTGTTTGCTTAAAAGGGAGAAAAAGCCTTATCTTTGCAGCAACCTACACCTTTTTGAGCCCTCAGGTTCACATCTCCTCCTTTATAGACAAAGCTGGGGCCTACTACAGCATGGATGTATCTTTCTTACTGTATCTTTCGTGAGCTATGTGGGGCCAGTGTTTTAAAGGTGAGAAGAGTGATGTATCAGGTGACTTATACTCGCTTTAGCTGTTGGCCAGCTCAATGTTTGTAATAATTTTTAAGATGCAGCTTTACTGGCCTCTAAGCTTCCTCAATGAGGCATCTGCTTAGACTCCTTTAAAATCAGAACTTTTCAACCTTATTTAGGTAAGGTTGGCAAAAGGTGGCTGAGCTGGTTCTTGAAACCCACGATTCTAAGACGGATTCCTGCCACTCTTTGCAAATCAGTCTAGTCAAACCATCAGGCACAGAGAACATCAGGGCAACAGCTTTTCCTCCTACACCTACAGCTCAACACCCATCCACCACATCTCAGACCATTTCCTCTTCCAAGCTCAATTCCTTCCCCAAGAAGTGTGAAAAGAAAAAGGAAGTTCAACTTACACAGGCTTACGTAGAGTTCTTAGAATGTATTTTTTGTTCACCTGAAAAATAAAACTTTTAAAAAATATACAGGACTTTTTGAGTACAGGTATATCTTAAATGGCTGAATTATAAATAACGTCTCTGGTCATTTTCACAGCTAGAGCTGGAGCTAGTGTCCCAATTCCAGTGAAGGCTTTAGAGAGTCAGGAGGCCAGCAGCTGGCCCTAGGAGTGGTCTCTCTAGACTTTGATCCATCCCAAGTGGATTTACAGTCCAGAATGCAGGGGTCAGGTCGGGAGAGGGGACTGGGCTCCCAGATGTTCTCCTGAAAATTCAAAGGGTTCTTGGAATAAGAGTTCAATTTACAAATTATTAAAATATAGACTAAAAATCCACACAATAAATATAAATTACAGGCTGTTATTGAGTTATAAAGTGGCATTTTATGTTTCTTTCCCCAGGTCCTCACCAAAAAATTAAAAAGGCCTCAAAGGCTTCCGAATGACCACAGTCAAGTCAGCTGCTCAGAAATCGCCAGCCAAGACACCTTGAGGGTGCTACCAGCTGCCCCTAGGCTATGACAGCTCAGCTGCCATTATCTTGCCCACAACAGGACATGGCTTAGGGCAAGCTGTTGTCCTATAAACTCGGATCAGCACTAACTAGAGTGTCGGCTAGAAAACTGGAGAGACAAACTGTTTCAAGACTCAGGTGGATAAGTTTTTGTCTTTTTTTTTTTCAAGTGCCTCATTTCCCAAAAAGGAAACACTACGGGGTTTGATATCTTGTCACTACCCACACTCAATTGCCTAAAAGCCAGTGGCAGAAGGAAATGGAATCCAAATTGAAGATGTATAATTCTTGCTGCCCCAGAGGTATACATGTCTTTTCCCTTGATGTTTCTCATTTCAATAAATGTACAGGCAGCATATAAGTGGGTATGTCAGGAGAGGTAAAGACAAGCCAATTCAACCTTCCCATATGGATCTGTTAACTGGCTAGCAACACAACAGTCCGGAGTTTGAAGTCCACTTTTCAGCCTGAGGATGTATTCAAAGCTCTGGTTCCACAACAGATTTCCTCCTAATCGCAGGGCTACATTATCACTACAGGCTTAGGACAGAGGGAAGTCAAGGGTGATTACAGGAACAAGACAAGATCTTGAGAAGCAGCAGGAGGCAGGGAGGGAGAGAACACTTGTGATCCACTCTACTTACAAAAGCTTGCTCTTCCCAAAAGAATGTTGAGGAGAAGGCCAAGAATTGAAGCACAGAGGCATTGCTCTTTCCCTTCCTTGTCTCTGGCCCAAATCCAGACACTTAGGGCTGCAACAGAAAGCCTTTCAGTGGGGGCAAAGGGTGGGAAGAGGAGGGATCAGCACATTCCCCACCCTCCCTGAAATGCTACTGCTTCTCCTAAGGTTCTCCACCGTCCTTTCCAGAAGTCTCAGATTGATCATATTCTTTTGTGTCATAAACCTATCTCTGAAATACCAGAGGGGATAGGGGAAAGAGTGGGTGATTGATGAGAAAAACAAAACCAAAAACAAAAGTGTTTGTGCCCTTCTGACTAGCTGCACTTTAGGGGAAAGCAAGTAGCCATTGCTTGACCCCATTAGTCAGTAGCTACCCAGGGTGTGGGAAGATACACATAGTTCTAGGTAATTATAGCTTCTGGTGCATATGTCAACAACTATATACAGGGATCTATAAATTAAATGCATCTGTGGCCACTGCAACTAGGTTGACGTACCTGAGCTCCACTACTTTTGATGCCCTCTTCCTTGAGAGAGGCTTCAGCTTATTAAAGAGCCCCTACCACTCCCCTCCTTCCCCTGAGTCTTGGGGGAGAGCCCCCGAGTCACCCCTGAACGTAGGATACACAAGAGCGAGTGAGCAGAAGGGTTCAGTGCTCCCCCCCCACCCCCATTCCCCTAACGGCTCAGGGCCCTGGCCGCAGCACAGTCCAGGGAAGACCAAACCCGGAGCCCCTGGTGAATCGTGGTCCCTTGGCAGAAGGTCGAGCTGCAGGTCACTGGCCCGTGGGGCGAGTTGTCGATCGTCTGGAGGAAAGGGGGGCGTTCACTCCTGCGGGGGGGGTCACTCCCGCGGGCTCCCTGCCCGGTCCTGCTGCAAAGTCCGTCTCCGGCTTGGGGAGGATGGTTCCCGGCAGCCCCTGGCGCGGAGGGGTTCAACGACTCCCGGGCCCTGCCGCCTCTTCCTCAGCCTCCTCCTCGGGCCCCTGCGGCCGCTCTAGCGGCCGGGCCAGGGGGGTATCGACAGAGGGCTCGGGAGGCAAGGGCCGTGCTGCCTGCAGTGGGGGCGCGTCGCGCGGCGCCTCGCGGCGGGACGACCCCGTGGCGTTGGGCTCCGCCGTAGCCGCCCCCGAAGTCCCGGACGGGCCGGTGGCGTTGGAGCCGCCGGGGGGCGGGCCAACCGCTCCCCCCGAGGTCCCGGCGCCCACCGGCTGCCAGATGAGGCTGTAGTAGACGGCGAGCACGATGGCGGCCAGCGACACGGAGAGCACGTAGGCGAACACGGTGGCGAGCCGGACCCACTTCTTGTTGGTCTTGGCCGCCATCTTCGCCTTCTTGTCCCCGGTGTAAGTGGCCGGCTTGCCCCGCTCGGCCGGGGCCGCGTCGCGCTCCTTCATGGGGGGGCCCCGGCCTTTGCCCCGGTGCTCCACGGCCCCGGCTGGAGGGGGCCTGGCGGCCTGCGAGGACTGGGCAAGG